CACTAAAAAAATTTAATTTATAAGGCCATAATTTATAATTTATTATTTTTAATTAAATTTAATTTATAATTTATAATTTATAATTAAAAATTTTCATTTAATATATAATTTTAAATTAACAACACTAAAAAAATAATTTATAAATGTTCAAAAGACTATTTTATCATTTTCTAATTGTGTAATGCCATGGAGGGCAAAATAGATATTTTACAAAATAATCTCATGGGATACCAATCTCATAGTTTCTATCTCACCCTCCCCATGGGTAGGGATAGTCCCATATTTGTGAGACTAATAGTCCGAGAGACTATTAGTCTGAAGTAAAAAAAATGAAACAAACAATAAATTATTAATCCGGTGAGATTAATAGTCCAATCCCACCCCCCTAATCCTTCAAAACAAACGCACCCTCTTTTCTCATGATGCATTTGTAGTATCACCTCATTGTTGTATGGCATACCATCACCGTCACATGTGAATCCCACCATCTTAATATAATCACCTTACGGTTATCCAACTCATCCCACTAATTGACACATATAAGTAATTACGGTTATCTAACTTATTCCACTAGCTGACACATATAAGTAAATATAAGTAATTAGGGAGGACAAGAAACAGGTCAAACTTTTTTTGGGTAAATTTGCAAATTCTTGAGATTCAAATTCACTTACGTGATAGATTATGATTGGTTTCACTCAATTTTTTCTCCATCCATCTCCCCAACTTAAATTTTAATACATATTTTGAAAATATATAATATATATTTTAAATAAAAATACCTATTATCTGTAAACAAAAGAGAGTAAACTGTAAACTGACATTTAATTCTATTTATAATGCATTTGCAACATATGCACGAGCGAAAGTATAAAGATATATCTTTTAACCTTATTAATCAATTATACTTCATCTCTCCTCTCGTAGGAGTCCTCTCGTGTCATGTACAAGGATAACTCTCCTGGTGTGGGGGTTCTTTGATTACGAGTGTGGGTAGGAAGTTCTAGATCGTGCTAATGGCGGAGTCTCTCTCTGATCTGGCGAGGAGACTCGTATTGACGGAGGAGGAGGAAGTGGAAGTCGTGGTGGAGGATGCCCATCCTCAACCCACGGAGGCGAAAGCGGGGCTTTGTCTGGTGGGTAAACTTCTTACTACGCGCCCATTCAATTTTGAGGCCTGCGGACTACATTGACTGCGGTTTGCGGTTTGGAGAGCATCTAAAGGGATCGAGTTCAAGACATTGGGTGCTAACTTGTTTTTGATCCAGTTTGGTCATATTGTTGATAAGAAGAGAGTGCTGCTAAATGGCCCATAGAATTTTGATAACCAGTTAGTTATGTTGAAAGAGTTTAATGGGGAGTTACAACCGCTGGACATCACCTTCTCTACTATGGCGTTTTGGGTTCATGTATCCAATCTTCCTCTTATTAGCATGACGCGGGAGGTGGGAATTTTGCTGGGCAATCAAATCGGGAGTTTTGTCGATATGGAGTATGGAGATGGTGGTATTGCTTGGGGACGAACTCTTCGCCTTCAGGTAGAGATCAATATTGCCAAACCACTTAGGCGGGGTTTGAAATTGACCTTACCTGGGCGAGAGTCGGTGTGGGTTACGCTCACATATGAGAAGCTCCCAAATTTTTGTTTTCATTGTGGTTTGCATGGTCACAGTGTTCGTGACTGTGCAAACAAGATATTGGGAGGTGAGAAAGAGGATGGGGCACCGTTGCAGTATGGGACCTGGCTCTGGGCAGAGCCCACACGAGGACGGAATCAAAGGGACCACCATTTTACACAGGGAAGGAGGAGGGAGGATGAGGGGAGCTCCAAAATGGTATCGGAGGATGTGGAGGTGCAACAGCGTGGTCACGGGGAGGGCTCGACTCATAGCTTTGTTCCGGTGACGGCTGAGAACCGGCGATCGGAGCAGGCCACTCTGGGCAAGGTCAAATATAGCAAGGTTCAATCTGCTCCCCTAAACATAGGGATTGCTAGTATTTCGGCGGATTTGGTGACCTCATTGGGCGGTATGGGGGGGGGTGATCATTCTTTGGCGCCAAGGTCAGATATTCAAATTACGGAGGGCTGGGGTGGGAGGGACTTTGACTTGACTGGGCCTGATATGAGGAAGGGTTTGGAGGTGGGGCATATTGGGAAGATGAGGGGAAAGGCTTGAGGGGCCGACGCTTGGGGGCTTGGAGGATCAGGATGGGCCCAAGCATTGTGGGTTGGTAAGGCCAATTGTGGACGCTTTTGTGAGTCCTGAGATTAATATGGGTACATCTTCTAAGGGCCCAATAAAGGTGGGGAAAAAGTGGAAAAAGCTGGCACGTAATATTACGCCACCGGTGGAGCAGAGGGCGTTACCCGCTGGTTGTACGAAGAAGCCTGTGGGAAAGAGGGAGAGGGGGTTTTGTAATGAGTCCTCGGGTTCTTCCGATGTCCGCAAACGGGTGAAGATTGTTGAGGGTATGCTACAACATGGTTCATCTCTCCAATTAACGGTGGAGGCTGCTGGGCAGCCCCGCAGATCACGATGAAATGCCTCAGTTGGAATTGTCGTGGGCTTGGGAACCCGCGAACAGTTCGAAATCTTCAGCTTTTGCTGAAGGAACAAGCGCCTGATATGGTCTTTCTTATGGAGACAAAGTGTGTGTCGAGAAAGATGGAGTGGCTTCGCTGTAAACTTGGTTTGGCTGGGGGTTTGTTTGTCGATAGCATGGGATTGTCTGGGGGGCTAGCATTGTTCTGGAGGACGGGAGTGTCGGTGTCTATTCATAGCTACTCCAGTGGGCATGTCGATGCTGTTGTGGAGTCGGACGGGGGGATTGGAAACTGGCGTTTTACGGGGTTCTATGGTCATCCGGAAGTCGTGAAAAGATGGGATTCGTGGGAGTTGCTTCGTCGCTTGGGCGGTTTAGATGATCTACCTTGGTTGGTGGTGGGAGATTTCAACGAGATTTTGTTACCTTCAGAGAAGTTGGGTTTGGGAGACCGAAGTATAGCCCAGATTGACGCCTTCCAACATGCTCTTTCGGATTGTTCGTTAGCTGATTTGGGATTTTCCGGGCCCTGTTTTACGTGGTGCAATAATCGGCCATCTGGGTTGGTACGTGAACAATTAGATCGTGGAGTGGCTAATGATGCTTGGCTCGCCATTTTTCCGAAGGCTAGGGTGGTTCATCTCACTTGTACGACGTCGGACCACATGCCAATTCTGGTTGACTTGTTGGGGCCGCAAGTGTGTCCGAGTGGGCAGAGGTGGCGACAACGTATCTATCGTTTTGAGGCGATGTGGCTCCGTGATGGTAGATGCGAGGAGGTGGTCAAAACTAATTGGGTTTGTGCTCATGAAGGTAGTATGGCTCAAGAGGAAAGTATGGCTGGATTACGGCTTACTGTGGAGAAGATGGGTTCTTGCTTAGCCCAGTGGGGGAGGACTACGTTTGGTCATGTCCAACAGTTATTGCGGTCTAAGTTGAATGAGGTGCGGCGCTTGGAGGGTTTGTCCGTGCTCTCTCGGGACGAGTATGGAAAGCGCATGCAGCTATGTAGTGAGATTGATGAACTCTTGGAGAGAGATGAGACTTTGTGGTGCCAAAGAGCGAGAGTGAATTGGCTGAAAGAAGGCGATCGGAATACTTCTTTCTTCCACTCCAAAGCATCGCAAAGGCATAAGAAGAAGAGGATTGATGGGCTTCAAGATGATCATGATAGATGGTGGTCTACACCGGAAGATTTGGAGTGAATTGTCGTAGGGTATTTTGCGGAGCTGTTTGATGCAGGGCAACAGTGTGATATTGGGGAAGTTTTGGCTTCCATTCACGTTGTCGTTCCACCCGAGAGGAATGTCGAGGTAGCTCGACCATATACCGCAGAGGAGGTGTCATACGCTTTATTTCAGATGCATCCTACGAAAGCCCCGGGCCCGGATGGCAAACCAGCGTTATTCTATCAACGGTTTTGGCCGATAGTCGGGGCACAAGTCACACGGGCGGTGTTAGGCGTTCTTAATGAAGGCAAGGCGGTGACGGCTATGAATGACACATTTATTGTGTTAATTCCAAAAGTGAAGTCACCCAAACGGATGTCTCAATTTAGGCCAGTAAGCCTTTGTAACGTGGTCTACAAGCTAGTAAGCAAGGTGTTAGCCAATCGAATGAGGAAAATATTACCCGATATTATTTCGATGAACCAAAGTGCTTTTGTGGCGGGGCGGCTCATTAGTGATAATATGCTTGCCTCATTTGAGATATTTCATTTTTTAAAGAATAAAAGGCATGGAAAAGAGGGACATTTCGCCCTAAAGCTCGATATGAGCAAAGCATACGATCGGGTTGAATGGAGTTTTTTACGAGGGGTCATGGAGAGGATGGGTTTCAATCAACTTTTTGTGGATACAATAGTACATTGTATCTCCTCTGTGTCATATTCGGTCCTTGTGAACGGGAGTCCGACAAAGAAATTTATTCCTACAAGGGGGCTGCGACAAGGGGACCCGCTTTCTCCGTATTTGTTTGTGTTATGCGCGGAAGGTCTTTCTGCTTTAATTAAAGGAGCTGAAGGAGAGGGTAAGCTTATGGGGGTGGCGGTGTGTCGAGGTAGTCCACGGGTGTCTCATCTTTTATTTGCGGATGATAGCTTGTTGTTTGGAGCTGCGAACATGCAAGAACTAACGGTGGTTCAAGATATTTTAGGAAAATATGAGTTAGCTTCAGGCCAGAAAATTAATCTTGAGAAATCGGCTATCTGTTTTAGTAAGAATGTGGGGATGGATATTCAGGCGGGGTTGCAGAATGCGATGGGGGTTGGTAATTTGGTGGACTCTGGAAAATATCTCGGGTTGCCTTATATTGTGGGCCGCTCTAAACGAGGCATATTTAATTCTGTTAAAGATAGAGTTTAGACTCGGTTGAATGGGCGGAAGGAAAAGTTTCTATCCGTGGTTGGTAGGGAGATATTGCTTAAATCGGTGGCACAAGCTATCCCAACGTATATTATGTCCTGCTTTCAGTTGCCTGATGGAATTTGTGAGGATATTGATTCTATGGTGCGTAACTATTGGTGGGGTGAGAGGGAGAACAAGCGGAAAATTCATTGGAAAAATTGGCGAACATTGTGTGACCCAAAATGGGTGGGTGGGATGGGGTTTCGTAGCTTGAAAGCATTGTTGGCCAAACAGGGGTGGAGGTTGATTTCGGTGCCGGATTCTTTGGTGGCCAGAATTTTGAAGGCTAAGTATTACCCTCGCACAACGTTTCTTCAAGCTAATGTTGGGTCGAATCCCTCATTCACATGGAGGAGCATTTTTAATGCAAGACTGCTTTTGGAAGCCGGGTTGAGATGACGAGTGGGGGATGGTCGGTCAATTCAGATTTGGGGTGATAAGTGGGTGCCGCGGCCTCATTCTTTTCGGGTTTGTTCACCACCTTCACCATATTTTTTCACTGTTTATGAAAAAATTTGTAAAAAAAATAAAAAGAAAATATAATCTAAAAAAATAAACAAATAAATATTAGTGTAGATGGACGTGGAGGCAATCCAGCAAATCCCTCTTTGTTGTTACGGCATTCCCGACAAATTGGTTTGGCACTATACGAGGAATGGGCTGTTTTCAGTTCGCTCGGCGTATCATTTGCAAATGAATATTAGTGGTTGGGAGGTGCGCGGGTCTGGGTCTGATGTGCAGAATGTGAGTTGGTTTTGGAAGCAAGTATGGAGCCGTCGCATTCCCAATAAGATTAAGGTCTTTGCGTGGAAGTGTTGTTCCAATATTCTACCGGTTAAATCAGTTCTTCGGCAGCGGCAAAAATTGCAGGAGGATAGGTGTGATGGATGTGGGGATGCAGTAGAAATGGTAATGCACGTTTTATGGGAATGTATGAGGGCACGGGAGGTCTGGATTCAAACTCCGATACCGTTTGTGCTTAATCATGTTGTTGGTGGCGATTTTATGGGATGGGCATATGGTGTTGGACGTCGGACGGATAGTGTCACATTGGGTTTGTTTTTCGCTCTTTGTTGGGGGTTGTGGTCATCGCGGAATCAAGCTCTTTTTAGTAATGCTATTCACTCGGCTGCCGTGACAGTTCAGATGGTGTGTGATTTAATGCGAGATTTTGAGCGGGTTCATTCCAACGTGAGTGGGATTCCAGTGGCTCATGGAGTTGCGAAGTGGAGACTGCCGATTGGGGAGATTCTTAAAGTGAACTTCGATGGGGCCATGTTCATGTGGCAGAAGGTCTGTGGGGTAGGGGTGGTGATTCGGGATCTCAATGGCGTTCCTGTTGCAGCTTTATCGGAGCAAATTCCACAATGGATGGAGAATGATTGTATTGAAGCTATTGCTGCTATCAAGGCTTTGGATTTTGCAACAGAATTGGGATTAACAAACATTCATTTGGAAGGTGATTCCCTTACTGTGGTCAAGGCTATGCGAGAGGATGGTTATCTTAATGCTTCGTTTGGTCATTTTTTACAATATGCCATTGATCGTAGTAAGCAATTTGCGAGCTTCTGTGTTTCGCACACGCGCCGGAGTGGCAATGTAATGGCTCACCATTTGGCTCAAATGGCTAAGGAGGATCCGGAGAAACGAGTTTGGATGGCTGGGGTTCCTGAGCATTTAGTGCAGGTTTTGTTGAGTGATGTTCCTGTTTTGTAGGGGCTCATGACTTCCACTTTCTAAAAAAAAAAATGTTGACATGCATTAATTACACACCACTATTTAATGTTGACATACATTACACACAAAAATTAAACATGTTTCTTTATTAATTGTCATTAACAATGTATACTGTTCCATTCCAACCCAAACACATTCATAATCCAATATATATAGGTATATATATATATATAAAATTAAAGTTCAGCGACATCCCTCCTTTCCTATATGGATTTCCTTTATTAAGAACTTTCTCTCTCTCTCTCTACTGAGAAACAATGAAACAAAGCACACATAACATACCCAGCTCTCTCCCCACTCATTTTGAAGATGAGGAGTTATCAGTCGTTGAAGCTATACTCAGTCTTCAAATTCTAATCGACTTCTCCGAGTCTCGTAATTAATTGCTTCAAAATGAGACTGAATAGTATCCTATTTATATGGTTCAACATACAATCAACAAGTCCGAGTCTGAGTTCAGATGGGCTTTTAAAAGGAGGAGAACTGCAATCGATATTGCCGCCGTTGCTGCCAAACATAGTTTTGTCACTGAGTCCTAAATTAAATAAATTATAAGCAACTTATTAATATTAATATCTAAGAGAGAGAGAGAGAGAGAGAGAGAGAGAGAGAAATATGTATTATATTAAGGTCTCATTTTTTAATTACATATTTTAGTCAAAAAAATAAAAAAATTACTATAAGTTGTCACATCAATCTCTTTATTTTTTTATACATCTTTTCGTAAAAAATCAAAAAATTACTAAAATAACCTATTCCCAAAACTTAAATTTTGTAATAATGTATACAAAATTCCTTTATATAAGAGGAGAGAAACATAAATATGGTAGTATAATATGATATGTATGATAAATAGAATATATTGTTACTATATTTGACAACCCCCTCAAACTCAAGTAGGGATACCAATAGAGAAACTTATCCGTCGTTTGGGATGTGGATTGACTTTTCAGTTTTTTGGCTTTTTAGCTTTTTGACTATTTTAGCTTAAGACTAAAAAGTCTCGTTTGTGATGAACTTTTTGACTTCTTTTGACTTTTGTGAAAGAAAAAATGAAATGATTATGATTTGGAAGTGACATTTTGTCTTATTGAATTTTTAGCCTATTTTATTTTTTTGTGACTATTTTAGCCCACACCATTTATGCCAAATGAAGCCTAAAACATGGAATAAAACTAAAAAAATAAAATAAAAGACAAATAGATTGCAAAGTCCGAACGAGAGTGCAAAGGCATTTGACATAAATCAGAAGCCAGAGCTAATGTCGGAAGACAGTTTATGGTCGTGTCAGACCGCTGTAGGAATTGGCCGGAACTAATGCCGATACAGTTTAAAGTCATGCCGGACCGTTGCAGGAACTGACTGAAATCAATGTCGGGACAATTTAAGGGGTCATGCCGGACCGTTGTAAGGAAGTAATGGATGTTGAACCAATAGACGTGGCACATATATAACTTATAATGTAGTGCTGGACGGTGATGACAACAGATGACATTGTGTGCCAGGAGGCGACTTATGAGAAAGTCTGCCAAGGGAGCAACTTAGGTAGTGCGCCAAAGGACGGCTTAGGTGATGTGCTACATGAGGCAGCTTGGGTTGTGTGCCACAAGAGGCGGCTTGGATTGTGCGTCACAAGGGGTGGCTTGGATTGTGCGGTAGGGGATGTCTTAGGTAGTGCACTACAGGGCGCGACTTGAGTTGTGCGCCACATGGACGATTTAGGTGGTTCGCATGGTATATCACCATGCTATATGTATAATACCCCCTCCCCTCTTAAACTCAAATAGGGTTGAAGATAGAAACCTATTTGAGATTGAAACAGAGAAAAAGACAGAGTAGAGCGGAATGGAGAGACAATGTTAAAAAAAATAATAAGAAGAAAAAGAATGATGGGTACAACTTTTTTTTTTAAGGTGACGTGGGTTGTGGAAAAAAGAAGTTGGTGAAAAAGGATAAAAGAAGAAAAGAAAAATAAATAACTATGTAAGACTTTGAAAAGGGACGTGGGGTGGAGTGTAGAATAATAATAATAAAAATAAAAAATAAAAAAAGAAGAGAAGATTGCATGGGTGTATGGGAAAAAGAGAAAAGTGAGAAAGTAAAAAAAAATATCAAGATTCGGGTTTGAAAATAAAGCAAGAGAAAAGAAAAGAAAAATAAAAATTATGCTCTGGAGAGAGCTAAAAGCCGAGGCAACAGTGGAGAAAGCTATGCAGACTGACAGTTGACAGAGGAGGAGATGGTGGCTGTACGGGCGCGAAATAATCTTCTCGTATAATCCTGTTGATCAAGTTTGCACTCCTCCAAACAACGTTGCTTTGCCACCTGAAAACACAAACGTGTGTGCTGGAAACCCCTCCGATGCCTAAGTCAGCAACTAGACAATAGACAATAAGCTCTGTGTATTCTAGAGTAAGAATTGTGATACCTGTACATAGGTCCTACTATGAGCTTTTATAGATTCTTCCTGGCACAATCCTAGTAGGATTCCAACTCTCCTTATAAGAGTCCTCCTAGGAATCACACTCCCAGTGAAGAGTGTCTATCCTGATAACACTCTACTCACTACCAACCAAGTGAGATGGTTTGCACAATCTTAGTAGGACTCTAACTCTCCTTAGCAGAGTCCTCCTAGGAATTACATTCCCAAGGATAATGCATATTTTGATAACACCCTACTCACTGCTAACCAAGTGAGATGGTTATCACTTTGCTCGACTCGCTACACCTAGCTGAGCTACCTGGCGCAAATACTTTGACCGGGCCGCACGATCACCAATCGCTTTGAATCCTCTCGTCGGGCTACCTCTAGCTCGGTTTCCTATATACGGCCGACATAGCACTTCGGTTCGCCCACTGACCGCAACTGGAGCTTACCAACCGACCTATCAACCATTGTTCTTACATCGACCTATCCTGAGCTCGTAACTTGGCCCACAATGCGACCCAATATTCAGAAACAATGCTTCCTAGCTCGGCACAATTTGGTTATACAAATTACCCTCTCAATTGCCCCTTAATTCCATCTGCGAAGCATGATTGGGATTACTTTCCTCTAGTCGAGCTAAAAACGCCCAACTCTGCCGAACTAGAGAAGTTGTTCGGTCTCACAACTCGTTCAGTCCCGACAAGTCTTGTCAGTTGCTCAGCACGTCCTTCCACTAATTTGGCATGTTTGATACAACGTCATTCCTAGGACACGTAGCGTGACCCTATTAGCCCCGTTCTCCTGTTACAGTTGTCATGTACCTCCCAAAAATTTGAATAGCCCTGCATTTTTGCCTTCAATGTATATAACCTTCGAGTTCACAATCGCACGAGAAAGTGTTCTTTCTGTGTAACCGAGCTATATGGCCTACCTCTTGTAATCACCTTTCAATCAATGAATTTTTTTTTGTACTTCTTGTTCGGTGACGGCGCTTTTCCTTTATTGTAGTGTACCATTTCCTGCCCGCCTTTTCTTGTTTGGCCGAGATACTTATCCCGGCTACAGATTGCAAAGTGTTGGTCAATCCTGCCAACCTTTTTGAGCCTAGATCCTTATCTCGGCTGAAGAATGAAAAGTGTTGGTCAAACCTGCCAACCTTCCTGAGCCTAGATCTTTATCTCGGCTAGAGGAAGAATGAAAACTGTTGGTCAAACCTGCCAACCTTCCTGAGCCT